ACAACAAATGGAGAGCCGGCTTAATTGCTGTGATGTGTCTGCAGAGCCATTTAATAATGTGTACCCAGACTTTTGTTTGTTGAAATAAAATATGCCACAAACATCTTTAAAAAGTCACAGCCTGCCATTTAAGTTGGCTGTCATTTTAAAACACCAGTCTCGAATGCACTTTTTGTTTTAGCTAGCTTAAGTTGCCTAGGATAGAAGAAAGGTGGGAACAATTATCAGTTCTTCTCGTCTAAATGTATTGCTTCTACATAAAATAACAACCTCCTTTATGCCCAGTATTTTACACCTAACTTTTGTGCTTGTGATTCATTCTTTACTTCATCAAAACCCTGAGTTGCTTGGGGAAACTGGCTAGCTAACATGCTAACGTGCTAACGTTTACAAGTACGAGTGGCCCATGGTGGTGGTGGGGTTATGGTATGGGCAGGCGTATGTTATGGATGACGAACACAGGCTACTCGATTCACAACATTACCCTAACCCTACCCCTAACCCTAATCCTACCCCTCACACCAGATACTGACTGGTTTTCGGACCCCCCCAGACCCCCCCCAATAAAGCAAAACTGCACGTTTCAGAGTGGCCTTTTATTGTGACCAGCCTAAGGCACACCTGTGCAATAATCATGCTGTCTAATCAGCATCTTGATATGCCACACCTGTGAGGTGGGATGGATTATCTCGGCAAAGGAGAAGTGCTCACTATCACAGATTCTTTCAGATTTGTGAACAATATTTGAGAGAAATGGTTATTTTGTGTAAATAGAAAATGTTTTAGATCTTTGAGTTCATCTCATGCAAAATGGGAGCAAAAACAAAAGTGTTGCGTTTAAATTTTTGTTCAGTGTATGTGTCTGTTGATTGCGCATATACTGTATAGATATACATATTTTTATATATATTTATATTTTTGTATTCGGGATTGTGGGAAACTGTATTTCGATCTCTCTGTCTGTACACACAAACTGAAAGATTGACAATAAAGTTGACTTTGACTAAACACTACCATCTTGGAAACATTGCAGCAATGTTAGGAACACAACAGTGGGACTAACTAATGGAGAAACCCCGCTCAATGAATTTAACTCTGAGAGTTGGACAGACTTGAGATCGGACTGAGAATCCCAGCTGTTGTTATTCTCGCGTTTTGCTTTGTTCAGCTCTGTTTGGACCGACTGCCCGTCTTGCTCAGTTTCTCCCTTCTTGTTTCTCTGTTTCTCTGATCCAGCCCCTTTCACCATCCCACATCCTTCTCTCCTCCGCATGCAGAGGGGGAAAACGCAGACTCCACAGGAATTATCCAGCTGGAAATGCTCATGGCTATTCGTGATGTATTAAATTCATTACCAACCAGAAAAACAGATTTTGAAACTCCTTCAGAGCAGATGTGCTTTTATACACATATTAACATGACACCTTGATAGTATGGCATCCGTGGGGCTGGAGAGGATGGACTTGAATTAAGGTCAAACTAGTGCCATTTTCTCCTACCTTTTTGCTGTTTCTTGACAGTTTGGGAGGCAGAGGTTAAAAGGTTAGCATTAAGCTAGTGACCTGGAGGTAGCCACAGCAAAGGAAAGAAGTATTCTGGGAAACTCCACTCACCAGGAAAGAAGCCTCAGCAGGATTAAAGGACGAGGGACAATCTTCTGAACCAAACCACAAGTATTTTCAAGGTTACACAACTTACCTAGTTGTTGGTTTCTGTAAATACCCTTTTACAGATGTTTTATCTTCACATTCTACTGTATATTTTCTACTTTTTAACACTGTTTTAATTCTATTTTGAGATACAATTCTAGTATTGTTTATTTCTACTCTTTAATGTCTATTTATGCCTTGTTTTGTTTAGTTTTTCATGCTGCTGCAACGCAAACATTTCCTCATTTGGGAAGTTCCTCTTATCATCTCATCTTATACACTTACGCTGCTCTCAATCAAAACAGTAGCGAAAGACAGAGTTTGGTGTCATAGAGTATCTCGGGGGTTTGTCATTACGATAAATGTCTGGTTTCAGGTTAGGATTACTGCAATGTACATATTTTTTGGCCACTTGGTAGCAACAGCAACAAGTTGTGAACATCTCTTATATTATCACCTTTTAAGTTAACTTTTTAGAAAACAATTTACTTATTTACGCTGATATATAGGCCTAGCAACATTAGCATTGATTTGGACCTGTGCGCCCAATGTCTTATATTCATACTTTTTTAGCATGTTTTATTCTATACCAACTCTTGAGGCCAATATATGGTTCCACAGATGCAAAGTGATCTATTAATAATAATAATAATAATAATGGATTACATTTTTTAATTAGAGCACTTTTACAGGTGCTCAAAGCGCTTTACAATTACATATTCAATCAAATCAATACGGTGGACATTACCCACAGGAGCAAATTAAGAGGGCCTACACACCAAACTGACACCAAAGGACACGGACTCGACTGTTGTGTCGCCTCACGTCTCCTGCGTCTTGGCCATGTGTCGCACTGGAACACACCGCAAAGACTTCAGCCGACGGCCAAGAAGCACGTGAGTGGCAATAACTCTCCTTACCAGCAGGCGGCGGTAGTGTGTATTCGTCATTCAAAAGAGGCAACAACCGGAAGACAGACTGCTTGATACACCGAGAGAAGAAGAACAGACTGCGTGATATAAACAAACAACAAATAGCGTTTGAGTTCCATTTTCACTCTACAGCGAGAAGCTCACGGGGCTTTCCCGAACCTGAGTCGAGAGCTGGAGTTAAATGAAATCTCAGATTTGCCTTCTTAATCATTTGTTTGGGTCCCTCACTTCCGTTTCGCTTCTCATGCACTGATTCGTTAAGCTGAACAGCCAATCAGAGTGATTTATTTGGCCGACGGCCTTTAGAATCGGCGGTGGAAGGTGTCGGCACGGCCGAAAAGACACAACGGGGCGGGACACACCAATCTGAGTAGGGCGACAGGACGCTCATCGACGGCCAGACATCTATCGACGGCCGAAATCGGCTTGGTGTGTAAGGACCTTTATGTTCACCTGCTAGTAGCTAACTTTGTCGTTTGGTGCTGGGCTAGTATCTTGTAGGCTACAGTGCGTTAATCTGAGTTTGTTTTCTCAAAATCGCTTAAAAAGGCCTTTTGTTGCCATCACATACTTTCCAGCAATTGAGGATTTACTACTAGTTGCTTTAAAGACCTTCTTCATAGTAGCCAGTGTTACCTGTCAAATACAGGTGTAACTAATCACATTAATCATGGTGTTCCTCGTTCAGGGACTCACTTGTCTGAGTTATTGGAAACAAATAAAACAGAGCCCATTGTTAATGTTATTAATTGCACCTGTGATTTAAAAGGTCTGCTATGAAAAAGGCCTATTTAAGGCAATCAAAAGACTTTGTATCACTTCTATATTAACAGGTTAGTGGGAGACATTACTGTGTGTAATAGGATAAACATTGTAAAGTAATAGATATCCCAACAATCACTGACTTTAAGATAACTACGTTTTGTGTTACAGTTTTCTGAAGGACGGCCAAATTCCTAGCCTTGTAACTCATGGTGTTTGCCCAAAAGTGTGTGTGTGGGTAGTATACAGGGCTAACTGTGAATAGTACAGTTATCTACTGTCCAAACTTGCAGGGGTGGAGCTGCAAAAGGGAAATTACACATGCAGACACTGAATCCTGTATTACAGAAATCACACACAGACAGACTTAGGTAGAAGCTTGGAATTCAACCTTTATTCATACCGTTAAAATAGTCATGTCGATCAACAAGACAAAATCATATATGTCTTTCATATTGGCTTCAGCACTGCTGTTTATACATGTAAAAAAACACTGATTAAAGTGGACCTATCATGCTATATTTGAAACATATATTGTAGCGCCATACCTATATAAAACATGTCTGTGAAGTTTTTTTTTCAAAATACCAAACAGATCATGCATTTTAGCCATGCCTCATTTCGCCCTATTTGCTCTTTTCCAGCCCTGTTTTTGCAAGGGCTGATTCTGCTTCTGTGGCAGACTACAGCGCCACTTACAGGCCTGGCATATGTACTACAGCGTCTCCAGCGCTTTCGAGCGGTCTCTCATTCCCCTGATAGGTGGAGAGTTGGCCATATACATGTAGGCGGAGCACCCCTTTTCTGACGTCAGAAAAATTCAAATAATAATCAGCTCCGTTGCAGCCCCGTTTTTAGAGATTTGGGTACGGAGAAAAAGAGAGAGGGTTGTGTTTTCTGACGCTTGGTGAGTTCCCTGACACACCGGGGACACATATTCATGTATAAAAGACATACAAAAGTGCATTTTGCATGATAGGTCCCCTTTAACATAATGTATCTCATCTTGATTAGGAAAGACATTGAGCTCCCCTTCGAACACTGATCCTGCATCAATGCTGCATTTATACTGACATTCTTTGTTGAGTGTTATTGAGGTGAACCGAATTAGCACATTGTAAAAAACAAAGCCTCTTAACATTGTTCCTTGAAACCTTAATCCAGCAATTTAGTGCATTATTAAGTTGAATATCTACCAGAGCAGAGATCTACCAAGAAAACGGCTGACTCCAACATTTATATCCAAGCTTTCAAATCCAATATCCTTTTTTTTATTGAAGCTTAAAGGGTTCTGGGAAATTAAGTCAACTGTGTTAGAAGTTACTGGAAAACCGGGATTGTTTTATCCATATCAGTTTTTTTTGTCCACCCTCTTTGGATGTTATCAGCTGATTAAATGGCTGTTATCAGGCCCTACTTGGCACCATCTATACATCAATACTTTGACTTGTTTTAAAGTTAACATACAGTTCGTACATTTCTTAAGTTTGGGGACAAATGTACTCTTTCCTCAAGCAACAAAGTTCATTTTCCATGCCATAACCTTATCATATAGAGTTGTTTAATACATCAAGTTTAACCAACAAATTCGGGCACGTGTGATTTACCAATTTTCCCAGTCTAAGGCATTATAAAAGTAAAGAAAACGACTGAAATCGACCATTAAATGGGTTTTATTCGACATTCGAAATCATTTAAAACAGGTGGATAAGGACAAACATTCCAAGGCATCACAATCCATTTGATTTGTTTATAGCAACTTCTAACTAACCTGAGCTGTATTGGTTTATCAGTCAAATTAAGTTAATTTTAAAACGTTCATGTGGATGGTTGGACACTTTGAGCTCAATTTTAAGGCACTTAGAGCGATAATGAATGCATGTAGAAACACAACGGTACATGACATAACTGAATGAAGTACATAAAAAAAAAGTATAAAAAATGAACAAAAGAAGTATCTTCCAGAATGCACTGGATATTGAAGGAATATCAGCGTTTTCAGCGTTTTCAACCCCCTTTTTTTTCAACCACACTTTTACACATTCAAATCACAATCTTTTTCATTTTTTTGGTGCCATTCCCCCCACCCAATTAACAATGTAGCCAGCGCTAACATGGACGCTAGCGGCGCCTTTTCACCTGCTAGCAACGAGCTAAGAGTGTGTAATACACACCAAGAATCACACTTTTAAAAAAGAAACATGAACAAATTAACTTTGAAGAAATCACATTTTTTCTCAGTGTAGCTGAGGGGTTGTGAAACGCTGGTAAGCCTTAAATGACTTTTAACTGGCTAGCTGTTGCATTTCTAAATTCTGTGCACAGTGTCCGTCTTGCTGGTTGGACACCTTGTCGATATTCAAGTACTCTCCTCTATTTCTCTGGGGAGTAAAATAAATTAGATGCTCTTTGAACTGCCCTGCAGTTGCAATGTGACCGGTGATGATGAACTGAAAACATAAAACACACCTATTGGTATCAAAGTACAGTATCCAGATAATGTAAAAAAAATGTGATGAGACCTGATTTCTGGTTGTTCAATATCGATGTTCCAATGCTAACAAAAATGAATACATACTGTAGTTGTCCAGCAGTCTATGTGCGCAGATACCAACAATATATACTGCTGTATTCTAAATTAGTTGAAAAGGACCAAATCCAAAGCCTCAAAGATATCAACCATGTAACATTCCAATGCATCTCAAACACATATTGTAAAAGCATCCCTTCAATAAAACATCTGTACACTTCCCTTTGGCTGAATGGTACAAAAACTGGAACACAAAATCCCGTAACTGTAACATTTCTGTATCAAAAGGTGGGAATCTCTTAACATTTTCGGGAAAACACAACATCGCAAAAAGCTTAAGAATCAATTTGGCACTGAAATCAATTTGCAATGTCCACATATTCATTAAAAAAGCAGATATGATTTTATCCTAGTTACTCAACACCATTATCAAACAGACATTTCTATGAAACTACTTCCCAAAACCTCTGATTCACCGTCACAGCAAAGGAGAAATAAGCCAATCCATTCATCTCAAGGTTTACTCTCGTTACTCAGATTTCTCTTCCAACAATGGCCTCAGTAGTTGATAAAGACAACAAAGACATTTCATCCATTGCATCATCCATTGCATTCTTCTTCTTCTTCTTCTTCGGACTTCCTGTCCCTACATGCTTTGCTGTCCAGCAACAATCATCCGTGATCTAACAAACCCCAACATTAAGTCAAATATTTCCCCGAATCCCCACATTTGCCCTATTTGTTGGACACAACATTAAGTCAAACTGATTTTTTTCTAAATTGTAAAGGGGATCCAGCCTTATTTTTGCACAAAACAATGACAAAGGTATTTATACATTCTCCTTCTCCCAAGTTGTTCACGCTAAGTCGTAGCATGTTTGACGAATACTGCTAAATTACAGTTGGACTTGACACTCTCCCATAAAAGAAGGCTGGGATAGAAAGTACTGCTGATCTTTGGCGTATAGCAGGAGTATCTTTGGCAGCGACGACGACCTGAACCTTCAGAACTGAAAGAACTGGCCAACAGAGCGGTAAGTCTCTGATTTCAAAGCGGGTGCATAGATGGGGGGTGGGAAAGGTTTGTCTTTGTGATTCAGGGTCGGAGGGTGGGTGGAGGGCGTGATGGGGGTGCACAGGGAGGTCCAGGAGGGGTACGGGCTGGTGGGGGTCCTGGGAGAACCTGTCCTGGTACTGGAGGTGATCTGGAAGGAGGGCTGGCCACAGTGGGAGATGGCGTGGAGGAAACAGGGTGGTAATCAGGTGGAGGGGCGGAGGGTTTGTGGATCGGGGTGCGTGGGGCAGCCTTGGCCTCATCTTTCACTCTTGTGAAGTTGATGCATCGACCCTATAAGACGGAAAGGAAAGAGACGTGTTAGATTAAGGACAAGTTTGACTTCAAATCGTGACATGAGTTGGTTTTTATTGGCTCTAGGAATGGGGACAGAATGTAGTTCCTAAAGAACTACATTTCGAAACCCCAATAGTCCAAAAGAAGCTGTAGTTCCTAAAGAACTTTATTCCGAAATCCCAATAGTCCAAAAGAAGCTGTTGTTCCTAAATAACTTTATTCTGAAACCCCAATTGTCCAAAATAAGCTGTAGTTCCTAAAGAACTTTATTCCGAAACCCCAATTGTCCAAAATAAGCTGTTGTTCCTAAAGAACTTTATTCCGAAACCCCAATTGTCCAAAATAAGCTGTGGTTCCTAAAGAACTTTATTCGGAAACCCCAACAGTCCAAAAGAAGTCCTATTGGACTGAAAGCCCATATGTCTGACAAACCATTATTTCCAAAACAAAGCCCCATTGCTCTGAAGGTATGAACTGTCTGCAACAAACAGGACGTTCCCTTTTTATTCTTACCACCAGCATACGGATCACCCGCCCTGATTTGCCTCTGATTGGCTAGTATTTGGTGCCTTCATTGGTATGTGATTGGTTAGGTTTTAGGGAAGGGGTCAAACAAGGGTTAGGGTTAAGAAGAGAGAAAGTCTTGCCTTTTTCATCTTATATGTATGTTTTTAAGAAATTAGACTTTGGAACCATAGCTAACAGGCTTTTGGACAAATGGCCTGGAGTCCAATAGAATCATTCGGACCAATTCGGACCATTTGGGTTTAAAAATAATGTGCATTGCGTCGAGGGATGAATCCATCTTTCCTGTTGGTCCAAAACTTTGGCCCACACTTTAAAATAAGGTTAGGTTCTACATAAGAACAGATAGGGTTAAACTAGGGTTAGGGTTAACAAAAGAGAAGGTCATGCCTTTTACATAATTTCAGTATTTTTTGGAACGTCTGTCAGACAAATGGCCTACGGTCCAAAAGGCCAATTCGGACTATTGGGCTTTCAAAAATAATGGGCATTGCATTGAGGGATATATCTATCTGCCTATTGGTCCACAGCTTCAGCCCAAACAGTAATATTACATCAGGTTTTATGGTAACAAGAGTTAGGGTTAGGGTGTATGAGGCGAAGCAGTCAAGTTGTAAAGTTTTAACAGTTGACTTATCAGACTGTAAAACAAATGAATTGGTTCCTTCAGAAATCACATTTCACTCCTGAGCTGCTCGTATAATATTACCCTAACCACAAGTTCACAGAGGTCTTTCTCGCCATAGTAACCCTACCCTGCGTCGCAGTTACATGTGGTTTGCAGCCGGAGCGAAGTGAAGTAATGTTAATCCACTAATAACCAGTGATTGGGGCCACAGGATCAAGGTTTTACAGAGTGGAAAATGAGGGAATTCACAAAGCTGTGTGGAATGAGAACAACTATTTCCAACTTAAACATTATATACAAAGTATTTTCCCTGCGTTTTAAGAAGCGTTTTTATTTACTGACATTTCTATGGAGAATATTCATGACAGGACCATATTTATGTTTATCTGCAATAGTGTACATTCTTGCAGATAGAACACAATAGAATTGAGTGAAAGTAAGAAGGGATAAAAAAGGTCTTCGGAGATTAAGAGAGAAAATAGTACCAGAATGAGTAAAAATCAAAATAAACCAAATTGGAATGAGACAGTTCCTTAATATCTCCCTCTACTTCAACCATCCACTTTAGTCCTCTTCCATTTAACCAATCATCTCTACATGTACGATACACTCCTCTCGGAAACGGCCACATAGGAAAGTTATTGTATTTACACCGACTTGTAAATTATCTTCTGTGAACTCAAACAAAAGTTTGCAAAAAATGCCCTGAATTTAGCGACGACCACCAGTTTCTGGTCTGTCGCCACTTATCCAGTCTGGCATTCCTAGACCTCGACAAAAAAACAAAAATATGAGATTCTGTTCTTGCCTTTTTACCGAGGGAAAGATGTGCAGAGACTACATTCCTCTGAGCAACATGCACTTATGAAATTAAGGAATTATGAGTGTTTTAGTCAGTCTGGGTCTGACTAACGCTAGGCTAACTGGTTGTTTGTTGTGGCTACATATTAACCCAGTGGTTTGATGCTTACCCTTTTGGTTTTCCAATCAACTATACTCAGCTATATAACCTGGGCAATTATTCACTGTACGATATCACTGTAGGAATAATACCGTTATTAAACTTTACATTTCAAGCGATTATCTGGTTGTCAACTATTTTATCTTAGTATTTATTTAAATAAGTATGCACATTTATACTTTAACGTCTTGATGTTTACATGAATATAACAATAAATCAACTATTTCTGATCCTGATTGTGATTATGCAAGCAAGTTACTCGAGAGTATTTTAGAAAAATAACTTGAGTTTCGCTTCATGTCCATCGCTCTGTTAGCGCCCAGCTGCGGTTTAAACCCATGAACATTTTCCTGGATTAAAATAAACCACACACACTCGTTTTCTAACACTGACCTCCTCCACTGTCTACAGTCTTACCAAGGTCATAAAATTGTCTAGGCCTGGGCAAAGTGTGTGTGTGTGTGTGTGTGTGTGTGTGTGTGTGTGTGTGTGTGTGTGTATGTGTGTGTGAGAGAGAGAGACAGCGTTGGTGGAGACAGCCCTGGCAGAAGTCTGCTTTAGGTATTACCTCATGTCCTTTAGCCAGCTAAATGCTTCCCTAAGGAGCAATGTACTTACAGTATGGGATGTGTGTGTGTGTGTGTGTGTGTGTGTGTGTGTGTGTGTGTGTGTGAGAGAGAAAAATACTAGCTCTACCTCATACTGTACTCTGACGTCAGTGTAATGGATGTGGTTCTGATGACAAACACACACACACACACACACACACACACACACACACACACACACACACACACACACACACACACACACACACACACACACACACACCCACACACACACACACTCACATTCAAAACTGCTTACTTGGTTTCAAATATAGATAACTTCATCGTAACCCGGGTCTATCGCTGCTGAATTATGTAGTTATATACACACACACACACACACACACACACACACACACACACACACACACACACACACACACACACACACACACACACACACACACACACACACACACACACACACACACACACACACACACCATGGGCTTTATAATGATACACTCTAACCCTCTCACACAAAACCACTGTGATCTATATCATACAGTACAGAGGCTGTACTGAGCAAACAATACGAGGGGTTGTTGAGTTCATTGCTGGCTAAAGAAATATGTGTGTTTCTGTGTGTGTTGGCTACCAAACTCTGCAATTTTAATAGTTTTGATTCAGTATTACTGAGTGCCGAGTCACGACGAATCAGTCCGTGCCATATTCTGGTATCTAGGTGGGGGAGAATGAGCCACATGTGTGCGAGACGACGTCACCCCTGAAGTGATCCAGGGTAAAGTTTGGTTACACTTCACACAGAACTTGACGCAGACGATACTCGCTGCAGTAATTGCAAAGCCAAATGAAAAGCTGGCCAGAAAACAGGCTTTGCTTCCTCTGAGTAACTCTGAGACAAACAGGGAGAAGAAACGGAGGTAGGGAGGGTTTTCTTTGTGAGTGTGGCGTGTAAATAATGTCAATGTTGAAATTGAACATTTTGGACCAATTTTCTAACAGCTGTAATACATATGTTGTCATGACAGAGAGAGTTAAGTACGTTGTGATACAATGTATTTTACTATAAAGTATGTTTTCTTAACTTTACTAACTATTTCTCAATAAATACATTTTCTATGTGAATTCTTTGTTAACTCCTATGAGAATTACATTTCCTAATTTTAAGAACAGTTTCAAGTGAATTTATAGAGAACAAATGAATAGATATAGGACTAGCCAATACTGTGATAGAGAAAATATAGAAACAAATAATCAAAAGACATTTTAAAGATGGTTTTGACCATATATATATATATATATATATATATATATACAGTTTGCCGGTCCCTAATCAAGTAAATGTGAACATATCTAACCCTACTACTCACAAAAAGTACACAAACAAGAGGATATCTTGGTTTTAGTACATTATATTCATCAGTAATAACTTAGTACAACTTTCTTTCTGCTGTCTCATGGCTACACTGTACAGTAATGAAGCAAAGGCGATGAAAAATGAAGAAATCCAGATCCAGATTGGTCCAAACCAATGAAGAGTCCAGACTGAACTCATGTAAGCCTGAATGTTGCAGAAAATGTAACCGAAAATACTTTTTTCAGGTACAGTAAAACTTGCAAGTGAAAGAGGTGACCAACGCTTGTTTCCATTCTTTATTCCTGAAATAAAACATTACATTAAAGTGGAAATGAGCCGGCCTGCTGGATCGTTACAAACCACAGAATGACTCGAGGAGGAGACGGTGGAAAACAGGGGCTCGATTAGAAAGAAATCATTGCAGAACGCAGCGAGCGCTAAAAGCTTAACTGGGTAACAGAAATGTGTTGACTAAGGAAATCAAATCCTCTTTTTTTATCAGACTGCCAGTTTGCTTTGGGGAAGATGTAATGGTAACTGTCTGATTTGTCCCAGGCCAAAGCAAATCCTGTCTCCGGTGGCAAGAAAAAACACTTAAATGTTAAAGACGGTCATTGGGGACGGGTGGCGCAGTGGTCTGTGCATCTGATCATCAGATCAAGGGGGTGCTGGGGAACTCCAGTTCGAAACCCGCCACTGCGTCAGGCCGTTGTGTCCTTGGGCAAGACACTTCACCCGGATTTGCTCCTGTGGGTATTGTCCATGACCATTGCATGTATGATATGTGTAATGTGTATTTGTAAAGCGCTTTGAGCATCTGGAAAAGCGCTATAATAAATGTAAGGAATTATTATTATTATTATTGGAAATGTTCGGCTAATAAGGCACGATTTTAACTAGCGCTTTGTTACGGCCTTCATCAGCGGGAGAGTCAAGGAGAGTAGGGATAAAAAA